ATGATCACCACAGTAAGTCTAGTGAACATGTCACCATACATAGTTACAAATTTTTTTTTCTTGTGATAAGAACTTTCAAGATCCATTCTCTTAGCAATTTTCAAATATGCAACACAATGTCATTAACTATAATCATCAAGCTGTATATTACATCAGTAATGTACGTTACAACTATAGGTCATTGTTTTTTATGTATGTTTTCCAGTGTTTACAGTTATTGTCTGTGAGAAGTTTGTCCCATATAAACTACTTCATGATGATCAGAAATGGAACCTACTTTAAATAATGTGGTCAGAATAGTCCTTACAGATAATGTAGGATTTAAGCAAAGATTTGAAAAAAGAGAGGGAAAAAGCTGAAATGACTGTTTGTTTTAAAGTCCCCAGGCAGACAGAAGAACTATAGCCAATTTGGGAAATGCCTGATATGTTTGAAGGACAGCAAGAAGAGCAGAATGATGCCAATTAGAATAAGATGAGGGAAAAGTAACCAGTGATGAGATCAGACAGATAGCTAGAGTTCTGGAGCAGTACAGATCATGTAGGGTCTTGTTTGCCATTGTAAGGAAATAGGAAGCATTGCAGGGTTTTGAAGAGAAGACTTTTGTGATGTAAAATGCATTTCAAAAGTATAACCCCATTGCTATTTTGTAAATAGATTGTATGGATGCAAATATACGGATGCAAATGTAAAAGCAGGGAATTAACTAGGAGGCTGTTGTAAGAATTCATAGGCAAGATAATGGCCACTCAAACCAGACTAGTATCAATGGACACGGTGAGACTATTGAAGTACTAGATCTATTATAAAAGGAAATTCAACAGATTTTCCAGTGGAGTGGATGTTGGGTGTGAGTCAGAATGGCTCCATACTTTTTTGGCAAGCAGCTCAGAAGGATGGAATTGCCATCAATTGAGTTGGAGAAAGCCATGGGTGAATCGGTTTAATAAGAAAAGATCTGTGCTCTAAAAGGTTCACACTCATAAGTGAGACAGTAAAATGGCTAATGTTATCAACTAACTGAACTAATGTGCTAAGTACTTTTTATAGCAGTTTTGTGGGAGAGCAGAGGAGAAAAATAACATTTCAATTTATGATGAAGGAACAGGTAACAATCAATCAATGTGTTGAGGAATGACTAGGGTGGAAAAACAGGTAACAATCAATCAATGTGTTGAGGAATGACTAGGGTGGGAAAGAACAGGGAAGAAGGAATTAATTATGGAAGAGTCAGCATGCATTTCATGAACAATAGCACAGAAATGCAAAGTTAATGTTAAGGGAATGAAGGAATGGGACACTGCTTGATATACTAGAGAGAAGGCGATGTGATGATGGTGGATGGGAAAGGGAGGGAGCGCTTGGAGAGGAGGAAGATAGGAAAAAGATATAACCAGGCTGACGATGGTATTATTTACTATGCTAATGAGCTTGCACGTTTCCAACAGTCATTGAGGCAGTGGAAGGAGGTACTTTTAAACAGTAACAGAAAAATCCTTGGATGGAAAATAAACCAATAATTTGTTCTTTTTTTTTTCCTGTTCTTTGTCCAAAGGCAATTAAACATTAACTATACACACACACACACACACACACACATATGCACACACATACATACATACAATCATACACACAGTGGAGTAGTTGCATAGAGTGGTCTCTCAAGGCATTTCCTGTGCTGTTCTACTGCAATGTTATGGTTATAATTTGAAGTGTTTTTTTTTTTTTTTCCTGGCATGATTTAATGACCTCTCAAGATCATAAGTAGAGGGGAAACACAAAGTGAATAATGCCAGTTTTCCCATTCATTTGGGTAGGATATTAACTGGTTATTTATTTGCCAATGTATTCTGTGGGTCAAAAATGTTTTATAACCACTGTGAAAAAATTGATGTTACTGAGTTTCGTGATTATTTCTTTAAGTCATGGCCCCAAGAGTGAAACTTCAGGGGACTTTCAGTAGCAGTCAGTCATAAGCACAAAATGTATTTATTTCCCTTACTCATATAAGAAAATATGCAGTGCTTTTCTGCACGGGTTTGGGCATGTTTTAACCTAGGAATTGTGTTGTATTTGGAGGCCTAGAAGAAAGAGTGCGTTCCTTGGTATATGTTAGGATTATCAAATGTCTTGATTAGAAGGGATGGGGGGCCCCTTCTGATTTTAACTTTTTAAAAAAATATTTATTTATTTATTTAGAGAGGGGCAAAGAGAGAGTGTGAGAAGAGGGAGGGGCAGAGGTAGAGAGAGAGACTCTCAAGCAGCCTCTGCGCTGAGCCCAACACAGGGCTTGATCTCATGACCCTGAGATCATGACCTGAGCCGAAATCAAGAGTCCAGTCAACCGACTGAGCCACCCAGGCACCCCCACCCCCAGTTTTAATTTTTGAATGGTATTTGAGATGATTGATATTTATGACTTCTATATACAGAAGGAAATACTGACTTTAGGGCAAAAAGATATAGATTTTAATTCTGGATCTTCCTCTTAGTAGTGGTTTGAGATTGGCTGCATCTCAAACTCTTTGAGCTTTGTCTTTAAAATGGAGATGATAATACCATTTCCATTTTAGTCCCCAGTAACTATGAATATCAAAAAGGAAGTGGATGTGCTAGTAACATGAACATTGTAAAATTCTCTGTAAATGTTAAGTTGTGCTCATTTGCATTATTGCCATTCACTGTACATTACATAATAAAAGGTATATCTTTTGTGGCAAAGGATGCAAGTGAGATTTAATTCACTGCTGAGATAACATAGAATTATATAAAAATGTATGTATGTATATATGATATATGAATTGGTTTCCTTGATTCTTACGATCTTAATTTTTTTAAATCTACTCATATAGGTTCTTTTCCTTTTAGACTAAATAACCTCAGTTTTCATGGGCTCTGTATGTCACACCTTTGTATGTCCACACATCTGTCTTTTAAACACCTATTACTAAAGTGTCTTAAGAGAAAATTATTTGGAAATGGTGGCCTGCTTATGAACTGAGCTGCAGTTTAAGAAGTACCTAAGAGGACAGGTCTATAATCACCAGTCTCTAGTGCTAGCCTCCGCATTCTCACATGCTTACAAAGCTTCTTAAGAATTTTAGCTGTGGGGGCGCTTGGGTGGCTCAGTTGTTAAGCATCTGCCTTTGGCTCAAGTCATGGTCCCTGGGTCCTGGGATCGAGTCCCACATCAGGCTCCCCGCTCAGCAGGAAGCCAGCTTCTCCCTCTCCCACTCCCCCTGCTTGTGTTCCCTCTCTCGCTGTGTCTCTCTGTGTTAAATAAATAAAATCTTTAAAAAAAAAAAAAAGAATTTTAGCTGTGGGGCACCTGGGTTAGGTTAGGTGTCTGCCTTCGGCTCAGGTCATGGTCCTGGGATCGAGTTGTGCATCGGGCTTACTGGTCATCGGGGAGTCTGCTTCTCCCTCTGCCTCTCACCCTACTTGTGCTCTCTCTCTCTCACTCTCAAATGAATAAAATCTTAAAAAAAAAAAGAATTTTAGCTGAGATTTGTTACAACTGCAGTGTTATTGTTAGTGAATGGAAGAGCACAGACCAGTAGATGGTGACATTCAGTGTAGCTCAGGCTTATCAGTAAGAGGATGGCTCTCTAAACCTGTGTTCTTTCCATCAATGGCTAGTCCATGCATACATTAGCCAATTTTAAACCTAGAAATGAACTAATTTAAGCCGTAGCTCAATAATGGAGATCTCAAATGCAATTGTTTTTCTTTTAATTTACAAAGCTTTTGATCAACTATAAAAATATCCTTGGCATGAAGCTTCTGCGTGAGTGGTCAATGTCTAACAAATGAATCATCAATATCATCCAGATTAAAAAAGAAACCACTGTTTTTATCCTCAAATAGTAAATTAAACATGTGATTTTTAAGAAGTTTTACTAGAACCTATATAATCATCTCCTGGTTTCAGAGAAAACAGATGGAGACTTACTCTGCTAGAACATTATAGAATAAACACAGTTATTGAAAGTGAACAACTGTTGATTGGAGAGACATTCCAAAGACCCAATTTCTATATGAACATAATTCAAATTACTACTTATATATATGTAAAAGACTTTGGTAGTTTAATGCTGGCAAATTGGATTTAAAGTAAAATGGCAGTAGTATCCCATTTAGAATACAAAAGATCTAAGGTACAAGGCATAGCTCTTTTTTTTTTTTTAAAGATTTTATTTATTTGACAGAGAGAGACACAGTGAGAGAGACACACACATCCATTGTGTGATGAACAAAGAAACTTTATGTAGCAAATAATACCTTTATTTCAGTATATTAAGCACATGGGCTAATCGTTGGGTTTAGGGGAAGTCTTATTATTTTTACTTATTACCTTTCAAAATGAGATGATGATTGGCATCTCCTATCTCTTTTGATTAGTTTATTACTCTTATTATGTTCTTTTCCTTCCAAATAGAAACCAAAATGATATTTTGGATATCAATGTGCTAGTGCTTCAGAGAAAGGAGGGGTGTGTGTGTGTGTGTGTGTGTGTGTGAGATTTGCTTTTTTGTTATGTCATTTGGGAGGAAGTTAGGCACACTAATGATGTTATGATTATTTTAATACCAACAAAGCCCTTTTAATCTATAATGCTGGAAATATTTAATAGAAGCCGAATTGTGGAAATGTCTTGTATGGGAAAAACATAGATTTAAACTACTAAGTAGGTAAACTTATTGAGGCAAAGACTTAGGACCTGGCTGTTTCCAGGTCTCATTGACATTGTTTTATTTCACACATTTTTCCCTTTACCAGGCCAGCCGTTTCCGGCCCTGCAATTGTCTAAACTCTTAATGGTGGTTAATTATAGCCATCAGCCAAGAGCACTTTGGCTATTTTGGTGGAAAGAAAAAGGACAGAGTAATGATTTTACACCTTTCCTGAAGCCAAATCATAATGTAGGTCTGCAGATTTCAAGTAAAGACCTCCAAATAAATGACCATTTTAAAATTAGACCAATTTTATTTACTTTTCAGACCATGTGGACGAGCGAACAGTGTGCAATGGAATTGCCCCTGAAAAAGATGTAGATGGATTTCATATTATCAATGTTGGAAGATTGTGCCTTGATCAGCATTCTCTCATACCTGCCACTGCCAGTGCTGTTTGGGAAATCATCAAGAGGACAGGTTGGTAACTTGAGGTCCATGGGACGTGGGTGCTGAGGGCCACACTGAGCATTTGTGCAGTGCCCTGATGGAACCATTTCACTACTGAGTGAAAGAAAATGATAAGCCATAGAACTTCAGTCCATAGAAAGTTGTAAAGTTATAGAAGTCAAAGAATAACCCAAAGTAAAATAAAATGAAAAATGCATGCCAGGTTGCAGGTAACTGCCGTTGCACCTTGTAGGAGTGAATTTTCCCAAGAGTAGGTTTGTCTCCCTACTTTTAAGTTATACACTTAATGTGCATTTTCCAAAATGAATTGTAGTTTTCCTTACCTTTAAAAACAAAATGCGGGGCGCCTAGGTGGCTCAGTCGTTGGGCGTCTACCTTCGGCTCAGGTCATGGTCCCAGGGTCCTGGGATCGAGTCCCATATCGGGCTCCCTGCTCCGCGGGAAGCCTGCTTCTCCCTCTCCTACTCCCCCTGCTTATGTTCCTGCTCTCACTGTGTCTCTCTCTGTCAAATAAATAAATAAAATCTTTAAAAAAATAAAAAATAAAAAAAAAATAAAAACAAAATGCGGTGATCATATTTGAGCCATCTCTAATGACCTAGGTTTTTACTATAGACATTTACATTTGAACTGTGCTCTAAATACAGTAATACTCTCTTGAACCCTTGAGGTGTATAGAGAAATGTTTATCTCTACATTAATCAATTCCATACTGCTTTTATGTTCGTCCTGCCTCCCTGACTGTCCCTTCCATTTCTGACAGCATCTTCTCCTTTCAAATCTGCTGTTTTCTAACGGAAGGAGAAAATTTCCAAGAGAAAACAGATCCTAGAACCATCCTTTTAGGATATTACTGCTTGTAAAAACCTTAATTCTAACTTCTTCATTTTACTTATGAAGCAACTGTGCCCAAACAAAATAGAGTGTGTTATATTTGCAAGTTTTATCTTTCAGACCTTTTTGAGTCCCTAAAATTCAGCACCTCTTTCCTATGGGGTAAATGCATGAGCTTTGTAAAAAAATACACCTTTTCCCACTTCATTTTGTTCCAGATTTGCTAAAATTTTGATTGCCAATTAAGCTCGACATTGTTGTACTTTGCTTACTTTATAATTAGTAGTTAATATATTTTAAGTCTTTGCATGTCTAACTCTTCATGTGAATCTCCATGTTTAAAAGTAATTTAATGGCAACTTGAAAATGTAGTTTTTTAACAAGGACAATTATAGAGGAAGTGACAAAGCCAAGAGGCGTAAAAAGAATATTTATAAATAATGAATGTGGGCACATTATAGACAAGCCACACAATAACTCAAATTTCATTAGAAGTTTGTAAAGAATGTTTTAGTTGGCTGTTCAAATGTTTAATCTGCTTCTTGTTGTTGATTCTTCATTTAAATCAAACTCTGTGTTTTAAGGAATTGAAACATTTGGGAAAAATGTGGTTGTAGCTGGAAGATCCAAGAATGTAGGGATGCCCATTGCCATGCTTTTACACACTGATGGAGAGCACGAACGGCCGGGAGGTAGGTTGGACCTTAATTCCATATACTCCTGTGATTTTCTTCGTTCTTAAAATCATCAGGTCAGGATGCTTGGAAATGTGACTTGGTATATTCATGGGTTTATGCAAATAAAGGCTTCCCTTCTTCCTCATCTAATGACATGAGCACCTTGAAAGTGAATAAAATAATTGCTGGAAATACATGGCCCCTTTGTCCCTCCTACTATTATTTTAGCCATATACACTTCCTTAAAATAATTGACAATATAAACATTAAGAAAAATGGAAAGCCACTAAATACATAACAGTCACATGTTGATAGACTTCTGCATGCTCACACACACACACACACACACCCATACCCACAGACACTCACAAAGCCCTATGGAAAAAGAAACCCAGTGATGACATATCACTTATCTAAAATGATGAATGAGACTTTTGAATATTGCTTTCTCCTTCCTGGGCCTAAGAATTTAAATATTGCCACTAATCAAAATGTATGTGTGGATCATAGTGAATTAGGGCCTGATGATGACTCCAGGGACCTTTAAAAAGCCTTAGTCTTGAGGAGCTCTTTGAAAGGCCAAATCTAGTAATATGCACACAGTTTTCATAGTGAACATCTACAGTTCTAGTGTTACTATTCACTTGTAACTTAATCTACTAGTGCTTATCTGTCTCTTAGGATATAATATATTGATTCATATTTGCCTTTATGCAGTAATTTCTATGTTAAGCAAGTTAAAATAACCAGAAACGTTTACCTAGGTATACCATTTTTGTTGGAAAATTTTGACTTGGTGTCAGTGTGTAATTTTTTTCTTCATTTTCAGCATTTTATTTTCTTATCTCATCGATAACATAACAAGCAGCATTATGTCACTCCATGACTTGCATGGTACTTTCTCATAAGCCATCTTATTTCGTTCTCAGTCATTCTGGCATATATTAATATTACTTATATTTTGCAGCTAAAAGAAATGATCTTTAGAGAGTTCAGGTGACTTACCCAAGGCCACACAAGGAAATGGTGAATCCAGAGCTGGCAGCTGGATGCTGACTGTGTTTAGGAGGATAGACTTGGGGGTCAGACCCCTCTCCTGCCATGCCCTGTGCCCTTGAATGAGACATTTATGCCATACAAGTCACCACTTCCCATATCCGTAAAGTGCAAATAATATTAATATTTCCTTCACTGGGTTATTGTGAATATTAGATGAGATATGAACATAAAGCTCTAATTATAGTGCCCGACATATTAAATTAAGTGCTTGGTAAGTGTGAACTGTGGCTATTACTATTATTTCCATTATATGCTTAACTTAATAATCTATGGCCATATTAACTGTAAGGTGTGGAGTTACATGATCCAAGGCTGATGATGTATTCTTTACCTTCATTTGAAATTTTATTGTCTTTTTCTGGTGGGTTTTATGTTTGCTTTTTTTGGATTAAATCTAGTCTTTGTTGCAATAATTTGCATAAACATAGAATTTATGAAGTCTGTAAAGTATTTGATTAGAAATATGTCATAATATTCCAAATCATACTTTCCGTTGTACTTTTCTTATAGATATCAATATATTGTATGCTAATTTCTTGATAAGTTTCCATTGTCTTAAGTACCTAAGTCTAAGAAAATCAATTTATCCCTTCTTTATGCAATTTTAAATTTTAAATATGTCATAATACATATTAATTTTGTAGATATTTTACACTTTGTATTATAAAATATTCTCATGAATGCATGTTAAAAATTGAATAAAAGTGGAATTAGTTATAATACTGGTCACTTATAGCCCAGGTAGTTAAATTTCCATTTATTATAGCAGCACCTAGGTGCCGTTATAGTTACAGTATCTAAAAGGTAATAAATTATATTAAAAATGATGTTGAGCAGTTTGCAACATGAGTGGTATTTAATCTTATGCATATTTAATGGGAGTGTGGTGACATACATGATTAATATAATGAATTGTTGAGAGCTGCTTACTGAAGATTTGGAGTCTGTGGGAAAGTTAATATTTCAAACGTCCCTGTCTGTTAGAGCAGTAATTATGTGCAGTGACTACATGTGCATTGTTAGCTAATGGAGATAATGAAGGGGGATTAACTCGGCAAATTCATATCTATAGAACTGTTCTGATGACACTCACAATGTTGAGCATTCAGCTCACACTGTATTTCTTTGCCAGAAGAGATTCAGAACCCTAATTATTCATTTGTGTCTTAAAGCCAAAGATAATTGTACTAGAAGAAAAACGGCCATACTGTAATTTAGCTTGATTAATATGTGTCTACTCTTGGCTAGCTTTTAGTCCTGATTATTTAGGACATGAATCCCAGCTGTTTGGTGAGAAAGAGCTTCTTTTAATTCCTCAAGGGCTTGAAATATTTAAAGGACTGAGAATGTGCTAAAATCTTGAGACAAAAGTTAGTGCTGATGCTCAACACAGCAGGATGCTGCAGGGAGATTATGTTCTCCTGAGGACACGTCCTCGCAGAAGGCTTGGTTGAGGACATGGCATTTGAGCCACTCTGTAGTTTCTAGAGAGTAGGTGAGAGATGGTTCTTGTCTTTCAAGAGCTTACAGTGTTGGTGGTAAAGGGAGGGGGGTATAGATACAGAGGCACACGATATGCAAGTATGGGTGTTTTAAATTATAGATAGTCAATGGCACAAAATAAAATCTGGCATCTCTAAGCAAACACTGCATTTGCTTAGGGAAGCCTGTGATTAATTGAGGGGATGTAAAGATATTGACAATGGAGAATCTCTTCTCTTGAGCTCCACTCCTTTCATGGATGTTTGAGGGCCATTGTGACCACCTAGAAGACACTGTGTATTCTTTTAACTTCTTCGTATGTGGTAACCTACCCAGTTTCACCTTTTTTCAGAATGGAAACTGAATACCTTTGGTATCAGCCCAGTGTCTTTATTTTTAGCTTTATCGTGAGGAAGCAAGAGGGAAGTTCTTGAGTTTCTCTAAAACAGAAATTCCTGCAAGATAACAAAGTACCATAATGACCAGGTGTTAAGATTATTACTTGTCATCAAAAGAATACAGAATCTGATTTTATTTCAAGTTTTCTTAGAGTAAATGTCTCTTCATATTTTATATTCTTATGTAGGACATCGCATCTAAACAGATTCCGCCTAAATGGCCATGACATGGAGTTACATGCTTCTCCTTTAGCTGAAAGATTGTGGTATCATTGCAGTCCCTACATGGATGCAGGGACCTTTTCTTTTTTAAAGATTTATTTATTTATTTGAGAGTGAGAGTGCTCACACATGTGTTAGCGGTGGCGGAGAGGGGAGGGGAGGGAGAGAGAATCCCAAGCGGACTCCCCACTGAAAACAGAGCCCGACATGGGGCTCAATCTCACAACCCTGAGATGGATCATGACCTGAGCCAAAACCAAGAGTCAGACACTCAACCGACTGAGCCACCCAGGCGCCCTGATGCAAGGACTTTTTCAATAGCATTTTGAAAAGGACAGCAACAAGCTGATTATGCTTAGAGGTCTATGGGCTCAGGGATCTTCTTAAATTCACTCAGACAATATGCATTCAGTACTTAATTCTCTGTGAAACACTGTGGGGAACAGTGGTAGAAAAGACTTAGTTCTCTGTTTCTGGAAGATGACAGTCTGCATCTGTAGAGTTCATCTTTGGACACAGTTTTCTCCAAACACTGCTTCTGCATTGGTGTTCAGCTTTTGAATTCAAGCTACCCTTCTGCCACACCTTTCTGTCTATCAGGTCATTTTCATTCAAGGGGCAGCCTATCTAAATGGAAAACCATAAGACATTTTGCCAAGAGAATGCCCTTCCTTTGCGAAAATTGGCTCCAGGTGTGAAAACAAACACTTTTGCCAGACTGGGAGCATTCTCTCTCACCTGCAGGAGGTGCTGTCAGGAGGTAACACAGGAGTGGAGGTTCCAGGTAGTGCAACGTGATCTCAGTGGTATGTGTGATTAAGCTCAGCCCAGTGCCAGGTTGGGCCAGGCATTCTCGGGTTTCAAAGAGAGGAGCCAAATAGAAACGCCTAGGAATGCAGGAGTCATGCAAAGGCTCACACCACAGAGCCTGAGACTTAGTCTTGTTGGCAGCAGAGTGGAGTGGGATGTTTGCTACCTCCATGGAATGAACCATTGTCAAACTGGGGCAGGGAGGATGGCAGGCATTTTGTCACTATTCCTCCCATCCCATGACCCCTAAGTGAGAAGGCCCCCGATAAGATATTGGAGATATTATGTCTTGTGATGCCTCCGTGTCCATTAGACCTTACTGAATTCCAGCGCTGAGTTTGCATAGTGGAAAGTAATAGAAAAAAAAAAAAAAATGCTTGTTCTTGTCTCCTTTTCTTAGCTGAATAATAAGAGTACTGCTTAATTTTTTTTTAAGATTTTATTTATTTGAGAGAGAAAGAGCACGAGCCAGGGGGAGGGTCACAGGGAGAGGGAGAAGCAGACTCTTCATTGAGCAGCGAGCCTGATGTGGGGCTTGATCCCAGGACCCCTAGAACATGACCTGGGCTGAAGGCATACACTTAACCGCCTGAGCCACCCAAGCACCCCCAGTACTGCTTAATTTTTAACATCTCCTAAATTCAGCCAGCTCTTATCTGGAAAGCACTGTGCTTGGAAAATAGCATGTATTCTTACACCAGGCAGCTGGGACTATGACACTCTTGCAACTAACATTAACCATTATTTAAAATGTAAAGTGACGTCTAAGCCTTTCTCTTTCCCTTTCATTTTCTCTCTTTCCCCATGACTTCAGAGTACAAGGCATTTGTTTTATTACCGGCAGAGAGCATCCCTTTTCTAGTGTCTGTAAGCCTGCGTGTTCAAGGTACCACTCATAAGGTTATTGTGGTCTGCTCCACACTGCCCTTTAAGGCATTCCTCCTGCCGCTTTCTTCCTGGGACCCGATGCCGAAGCTCCATAGAATCCCGCGCTGGTCTTCGAACATGCCATGTCTTCCAAGCCTCCTTGCCCTCATGTACCCT